TGTCAGCAGGAGTAATGTGACCACAAAATCAGCTGACTGCAACTGCAATTATATGCTAATTTAAGGGTTTTGACCATTAAATGCCTGTAGTGTTCTTCCTTATTTTGATAGCTTTCTTTAGAACGAAAGTAATTGTTTAAACTGAGCTCAGTTTAAGAGAAAAGCAGTCCCTGCAGTTCACTCTCTTTTTTTTTCTTTCCTGCCCCTTTCTTTGCTTCACCCTTCTATCTCAAAAAAAGCAATGCTCCCTTAATACTTGCTAGAGTACTTCATGCCTGGGTATGTGCTGTAAGTACGGTGAGAGAAAACAACCCAGACCATAACCCCCTGGCTTCCTTCCCCACAGGTCTGATGGCACACAAGCCTTGCTGCGGCTCTCACAAATAGAAAACAGGTCGGGTATTCCCCTCTGCCCCCTTCTGAATTGCATCAATTCCGATCATGAGCCAGAAAGAAAAAGAAATGGAGGAGAGCTCCCCACCACTCTGTGTCACTTGCGGCCAAGCGCATTTACCGGAAGAGAACCACTTGTACAGCTACACCGAAGAAGTAGATGATGATCTGATATGCCACATTTGCCTGCAACCTTTGCTTCAGCCATTAGACACGCTCTGTGGTCACACCTTCTGCACAGCATGCCTTACCAGCTTCCTCGTGGAAAAAGACTTCTGCCCCATGGACCGCAAGCTTGTGATTCTCCAGACGTGCAGGAAGTCCAGCATACTAGTGAATAACCTCCTGGACAAGCTAATGGTTAGCTGCCCTTTCACAGAACACTGCTCAGAGGTCATGCAACGCGGTCATCTTGAACAGCATTTCCAAACCCAGTAAGTTATTGTTGACAGACCTTTTTTTTCCACCCCTTTTTCTTAAGGAGAGGAAAAGATACCTTCAATTAATGCTGCTTAAAATAGACAGTTAATGTAAAGAAAGTTTTATTGATTTCACTCCCAGTGAACACCTACAATATCATTAGAGTTGAATTTAGTCCATTTATATGATGATATCCCACTCCCTTTAGAATCAAATGCATTCAAGGCAGTTCATGTTATCATTAGCAGTTCTGGGCAGATACCTTGTGGTTAGTTGCATAATGGAAGTGTGTATTTAGTCATCCGAAGAGATCTGCGAGTTTTGGGAAGCTGAGCTATCATAAATATTTTAGTAGTACATTAAGGGTTTTATAATTGCCCTTTCTTCAGTCCTTTTTTGAATCACAAATGACCTATATGAGAAGTAGAGCAGAAAATATTCCGGTTTGGTATTGGTCTTTGGAGCCGAGTGCTCTGTTCTTCCAGGTGAGGGCTTACCCGGTGCACTGTGCCGTGGAGCTCGCCGAGCAGCACGGTGAGGGAGGGCTCCCTGGCTGGACTGCCCCTCCAGGCTTATCTCTGCTGGTGGCCAGGACACAATCTCTCCTGCCTTCAGGAGAGATCTCTCCAGGGAGCAGTTTGGTTCCTCTGCAAGATGACAACTGATGATGGATGATCCTCTGTTTTGCAGGGGGAAAGCATGTCCTGATGCTTTTGTCTTGCATCTTCTGCCTTTTGAAAGGAAGGCTGAAGAATAAAGAAATACATTTAGGGCTGTAATTTCTGATGGCAGACGTACGCTTTGGTATAGTTCAGGTAACAGCACCTTGAGTTTGAGGAGAGGTGGGGTCTAAGAGATGCCTTTTTTGTGGCCTATATCTGTTGTCCAGTGAAATTACTTCCCCTGTGGTCTGTGGGTGTGTGTAGTGTCCCTAGGTGTATGCTTCTGCCTGTGCGTTGCAGAGGAAGCCCTGGGAAACCAGTGCAGGGCTCCAGACTGCTACTGGAGCCCTGCACAAAAATGGGAATGCATGTGGTAATGGGTGAGAGCATCTCTGGTGAGCAGGCTGGTGAGCTGGAGTATGGAGGTGGGTTCACACAGCTGCAGGCTTCAGGGGCTTGAAGCCTGTAACTGGAAATGGCTCTACAGCCTGCCAGTCAAACACGTCCCCATTTGAACTGGAGACCTTGTTTCCTGAAGCACCTGGCTTTTCATGAGGAATTTATTCACTGAAGGTATTCACTGATGTTACAGTGATTTTGCCAACCAAAAATGTGACTGGTTTGCATTTTATTGGCAGGGGAGTAGGACATCATGGGGAACCTTTGCTGTGGGGATTTCAGCTCTCTGAGGGGTGGGTAGTGCAGCTTCACTGGCATTCCTACCCAAGAGAAGAATTAGGAAAGAACTTTGAGTGACCCCTAAAGGGGAACTTCTGCAACCTTGTGCTTTCAGAGACTATAGAATCTTTTGCTTGTTTGTTTGTTTTAAATCAGTTGTCAACAAAAGTATCTTGTGTCTCTGCCTTGTTTATTTCTCAGAAGTGCAAAAACCTCTCTTGCCATCCCACTTCGAACTCACAGCAGAGCAGGAGAGGAGAAGGACATTGTACTCTGGCACGGTCAGGCACAGATTGAGCTGACTGAGCTGATGCTGTTCTCTTTAACTCCAGTGAATCAATTGAGGAGAGAGAAAGCCTGTGAGTTTCCTAATAAAAAAAAATAAAAAAATAATCATAAACAACCAGGTGCCTGCAGCAAGAATAGCTCAGAGCCCATCTGAAATCTCAACTGAACGTGATCTGTGTTCTCAGTGAATAAATTAAAGTAGACTCTGCTAGAGTCACCAGGGTAGTGGGCACTCCTCGCATTTCTTGCATGATTCAGGGTCAGACCAATCTTGGTTCTCAGAGAGAAGACAAAAGTTTGCCCTGATCAGAGATGAGGTCACTGATGGAACAAGGTGAGTTTGCTGTTTTACATGCTTCATAATTGATGAGACAACTTGTTTTTTTAAATGCTAGTTACCAAGGAGTAGTCCATTATAAGCATCCTTATTTAAAATGTTTGCTCTTGCATCCTTAAAAAAAAAAAAAAAAACAAAAAACCAACAACAATCAAACAAACCAGGAAAACTCTGAAAAGAGACATGTCCTTGGATTATTACATGATTTATGCTTGCACAAAAACATCTGACTGGATTTGGGGAATTCAGATTGAGATGCAAACAGCCAGCAGTTGGCTGTGATCTTTTGCAGTGTTTTACTTTAAAAAGGTGTGGTCTTCTGATATCGCCTGCTTCAAAACTCCACGGGGGGCATTTTTTTCCCTCCTTGTCAGATAGCTACACCCTTCCGTGATGCAGTTTAGCTCGTAACCCATCTGCTTGTGGGCAGTGATGTAAATGTACCAGCTGCCTCTGAAGAACCACTCTGAATCCTGCAGGAGGCAGGTCTCTTCTCAAAGCATCGCTCTCCTCTGCAGCATAAGTCACTGTCTCGCCAACCACGCTGTGCTGTCCCTAAACCCTCACATCTACCCATCTGAGAGTCAGATCGAGTAATCCTCTTACAGGTCAATGATTTTTGCAGTGTAGCTTCGTTTAAGGGATTTAAGCTTGACTCATAATGTGCTACCATTGCGTTGAAATGGGAAGGTTTGCTTAGAAGGGGCTTGGCTGGCACAAAAGCTTCACGTTGTGTGTCCCACCAGCACAGAGACAGTGGGAAGGAGGAAACCTAGCAGCAGTGCCAGCTCTGCACTGAAAATGAAGGCTCTCCTGTTACTGGTCCTACCTTGGCTAAGTCCTGCAAACTACATAGACAATGTGGGCAACCTGCACTTCTTGTACTCTGAGCTGTGAGTACGCACAGTCGCGCCGGCATCGTGCTCTCTCTCTGTCTGTCTGTCTCACCTGAGCGGCGGGAAGGGGCTTGCCACGAGCATTTTGGGGACATCTGTCTGTCTGTGTGCCTATGCATGTGTGTATGTGCAAAGAAAATCCCACGACGCCTTGCCAACAGCTTCAAACCGTGCTGCGAACTCGCTGCTTCCCATCCAGAGGGCTAATAATAGCCATACATCCCCGTTGCTCTCTGCTCTGGAAGCAGCTGAGGCGCACTGAGTGAAGCTGCCCTTTTCCTTATCAAGTTGCTTTTCTGTGCCGACATTTTCCCTGGTTGTAGGTTTTGGGGTTTTTTTCTTGGTTTCATGTTTGGGTTTTTTTCCCCCTTTTATGAATCTGTTTTTTCTTTGCTTTCCATAAATAGCTTTGCAGGAGAGCTGGGCAGAGAGGAGGGCATGAGGATAGACACCCCCAGTAGAGCACTCTCTGTGTGTACATGCATAATGTTCTGTGTGTAAAGCTGTTTGCCCGTAGCAAAACAGTGAGGAGCCTTTCACCAGAAATAATTCACTTGAGACAGGAAAGAATTTTCCCGTATTTCTGTTTTTGCCCCCAACAGAATGTTATTTTCTCTGTAACGCAAATGGAAGTGTAGCAATCCATTCATATACCTTTGTGTTTTTAAAAAAGAAACCCTCAAATAACCCTATCACCGATCTTTCTAACCCATAAAACATATTCTACAGTATCACCTATAAATTATAGTAGTTTAATTTGTACTTGAATGTTATTTTACTTGAATGTTATAGGGCGTCCCTATCACCGATCTTTCTAACCCATAAAACATATTCTACAGTATCACCTATAAATTATAGTAGTTAATTTGTACTTGAATGTTATTTTACCAGTTAATAGGGCGTTTATGACTCGAAATAGGTATTTCTTCCAGTATGTTTAATTATGTTTTGTTTGTATTTTAATGAATTGTAAACTCTCAAGAGCTTCCTTGAGATAATGAATGAAATGGGTAATTTTGCTCAAAAATGAAAAATGGCTATATTGTGCCTACAGTGGGAATGTTTCAGTAACAGTTGTGATTAGTACCAATGACACTAATTTCCAAATGATTTCGTCTCTACTGTCAGACAAAAATAGCTGTGTTTTGCAGAAACACAAAGTCCCCTTTCGAAATTCTTGTGTGATATATATGGCAACTATTAATAATTTAGTCACGTTGTGTACAAGAGTTCAGAATTTCTGTATGCCGTAGGTGTTTTTAAATGTTTAACAAATCTGGTGTTGAGGGTTGCAGCTATGCTCTCATTCTATTTTGCCAAAATCCTGTTTAAGAACATTAATTTAGAAAAAAAAACCAAACCCAAGCAGCCAAAAAAATTAACAGTTAAGCCAAAGAGGCTACAGGAGCAATCAAGCTCAAAACAGAGCAGATGAACACTTATAATGGAAACAATGGCATCTGGGACATCTAGTTTCCAGGAAAACAAACTGATGAGATTAATCGGAGCACAGACGCAGACACAGCCTACTTGCTTTTCTTGGGGAATTCAGGTTCACTGATTCTCACAGGGTAAAGGGCTATGACATACGGTAGCTGTTTGTCTCTAATTTATTTAGCCTTCTAACCCACAGAGATGTTAGTCTTGCTGGGTGTCAGCAGTCGTTCTTAATGGAGTGGGTGTGGGCTGGGGTTTGGACGTGCATCTTCTGCTGTCAGCAATGGGAGGTGCACACCCCCTCTCCAGTGCCCAGCCCTGGATGCCACCTGTTGCGAGGAGCTCAGGACATCCTGCTCCACTCTGTCTCTGGCTGGGGCAGTGGGAAGCAGGATTTGCTGACGCAATCCAAAAGAATGTTGGGCCTTTTGAGCTCGTTTCAGGAATTTCTCATCCATGTATCTTTTGTGCCTCTGGCTGCTGCTGAATGCCACCCAAGTCACTGACATACTAGTCTGTGGGGTGAATTCAAGGTCCTTTCTAATAGAAGCAGTTGAAAGAAAAAGAGAAATGTTGTTTTCAGTCCAGTTTAATCTGTTTCTACAGAAGTTATGACCTACAGGTTGCTACTTCAGTTGCTCACACGCGTGCATGCAGGATGTTTTTCATGCAGCATTTTGGCACAGCATGGGCACCAGTGTCCAGGACAGCCTGGC